CACGGGGGCTGTCAACAAGGACCCCAAAGCTGCCTCTTCTGTATAGTGCCAGCATCACTGGGATGGTCTCAAGCCCTTTTGTAGGTAGCAATCTGATGCAGAGAAGGCATCACTGTCTCACCGAGCCCTGCACCGTGTCCCCCGCAGGCTGCCGTGCCTGTACCGCCGGCACAGCCCGCGGCTCAGCAGTACAGCCCGGCACTAATTAAACAGTGCGGCACAGCAGGGTGTGAGTGCGTTGGCCATCACAGCCTCCTCTCGACACACTGCAGAGAAAAGGCTGAAGCTTCACAATGTTAGCCTTCCAAGAACCACTTTAATTGCCCAGTAATGCACACCCTGGGGTCTTGTAATGTGCTGCTAATATGGAGCATTTAAAATATGAATACTCCAAAACAATTACAAGGAGTTTGGTGCTCTGCTGAGTGTATCTTTCCACTATGAAAAATAATCCACAACAAAGAAATATGATCAAAGCGAGGATACCAGTGGTTTCTGAAATCTGCCAGGGTCTTCCTGAGGCAGCAGGACACACAACTCTTTCCTTTGGTGCAACTTCACTCTGTTTTTCCAGGATTAAAATAATTGCTAGCCTGGGACTCCAGATGATTCAGACCTACCTTACCTCCCTCTGATCAGCCCTAGTATAACTTTTTTATTTGAGATAGTGTCTAAAGACTCTGACAGCTCTAGTAAGAGAGGAGAAACCACAGAGTACATTAGGTTATAAGAGAGTTTGGATAGAAATGTCAGAGAAGCAAGGGAAGTTTACTATGATCTCTTATTCTTTCATCAAATAATTTCTAGACAGGTATAGAAGTGATTTTTTACTTGCTTATTTAAAAGGAGTGAACATTTTGCTTCTCAGAAAATACTCTGGCTCAGATAATTTTGACTTCTAATATTTCTTTCTACATTCTTGATGAGAGCTTGTTACAATTGTCATACTAGGAGAGAAGATTTTTGCCTGTCCGTCTGTATTCAGAATCAGGAAAAGGAATTGCATTAAAACTGACAAAAATAATGAAATAGAAATCAAACATTGGAAATTCATGATCTAATGGTGAACATTTAGGAAAGTAAAAGGCATTTGGAAACAGGCAGTTGGTTTCAGCTGGTGCTGTACATAGTATTAATTCTAGAAATCTAGAGTTACTACAAGCCAACTATGGTAACTCATGAATTCCAGGAATGGATGTATAATTCACAGTATGATACTATGTACTGTAATGACATTATATGCCATTACTTAAGATAATATTGCATATTAAATTCAGATTGTGAAATGAAGTTCAGTTGCTTTACTGCAATCAAAGATCTATAAATGTCCTGTTGCTGAAACTTCAGAAGGTTATGTATTAAATCTGTTTATAGTCTGAAACTCAAAGTAGACAACTTGTGCAAAAACCTCCCACTGGAAAATGAAAAATGGGAATTTACAGTAAGTACCAGTTTATGTTCTTAATTAAATACAAATGCTGTTACTGGAGTCACTGACTGTGATGGAATTAGAGTAGGGATGAATTTAGTCCAAAGTGACAATTTCTCTTGGAGAAAAAGAAAGACGTTTGAAAATGTGGCATTTATCTCAAGAAATCAGCACTGCTAACTGGTGTGGCAGGACTTGTGTCTCTTCTACTTTTGGAAAGGGCCAAGGAAGTGGTCTGCAAAAACACCTGTCTTTCTCCAGCGTCTAAAGGCAAGAACAAGCCATCAAAGACGGCAAGAGGTGATTGAGGTTTTGCGACCTCTTATACAGCCATAATCCAGAAATCCTAGATTTGAGGCAGCAGAGCTGGCTTAGTGCATTTTTCAGTCTCTGGTAAGGGTGAGAAGCTTTCGGCAATCCCGAAGTTTAAAGACAGCATTACTATGCTGCATTTGTTGCTACAGGACCGGGTCAGCTCTGTTTATCTTTCATCTGCTGTTTCATTAGGTGGTCTTTTGTAGGGCAGGCTCACTTGAAGCCTCTTAAAGCAGCAGCAGTGATGCCTTGCTATCACTTGTTTATCACTGTCCCTAAGTGAATCGACCCAGGGGGATGCACTGCCGTGTTCTGTACTGAGCATTAGGATCCTGAAATTTCTCCTCTTTCCTTACAATGCTAGAGTTCAGTCATGATTTTAGGGCAAAAGAACGCTGCCAGGGAAGGCCTCTTCATGACCTCTTCTGCCTCTTCTTTTAACCATAGGAAATACCTTCTACCTGAGACCTCATTAGGTCTGTGCATTTGATGCCAAGAATTATTTGACCCAAGCCACTGGAGGTGGCACAACCAGAACTGCTCCCCTCTGCTCACAGTTTCCAGGCACTTTCTTTTGACATAACACTAGTTTCATTCTTAGGAAGGGAATTTTTGAGCAAGCCTTTCACCTCTGGGTCACTAGCTGAAATCTGGCCCTGGTTGGTAGTGACCGAAAATCATTACCAGCTGACAGCTACTTGGTGAAATGAGCTGGTGAGCCTCCTTCCAGTTCCTAATGGACACTTCTCAGTAAACACAGTCACAACTGGCACTAACTGGTGTTCTTAGCCCACGGACCGAATGGGGAAGGAAATTGAACTTTCCTCTTCATCCTCTGCCTGGGTTTTTGGAGTATTATGGACAGGCATTTTATACCTGCAGCGTTCCACCGGCTGTTTTTACTCTAAATGGCTTTTTGAAACTTTGCAATTTCCATGCAGCATGATTCAGCACAGCCTGATCCGCCGTCTCAGTGTAATTAGACTCATCTTTTGGTTCCCCTCAGCAGAAGCTGAGCCGCCTGATGCCATCTCCCAGTACGAATGATGTGTCTGATGTCATATCTCAGTATGAATAGAACTGTCTGATGTCACCTCAGTTCTAACAGGACGTTTTATAATATGTCATCTAAGACTGCAGGGGAAATCTTCTAATCCATTCACTATCCTGCACTACAGTAGAACATAACACAGTATAATGTGTAGGTTAACTTAGACACCCCCAGGCAGGTTTGGGATAGACGGATGGATGGATGGATAGATACATTTATACAAAGTATACATACATTATATCACTCTATTGATTTTTAAAAAGTTCCAGGACTGCCTAGCTATAATGAGATTTTTGAACTTTGTGTTGCGATCAATGAGGGGAATATTATTGGCCTGGAGAATTGATATACCCGCTCTCTGTGGCTTGTTCTTCTCCTGGACTGCCCCTGCCCCCAAGGTGTACGATTCCATCAGACACTTAACCTCTTTTACAGTGTCATCAGGCTAAAAGGAATCTAATAGTGACACGGGACTTGTGCTCAGCACTCTGGCACTATTGCTTTCCTGTCACAAATAATTTATAGCTTTCTATTTCCATCCCTTTGCCTGCACCCCATCCCCTTTTTCTGTTTCTCCGGACTGGGGGAAATCAATAAACTCACACAACCAGAGTGGCACTTCAGGGGGTTTTAGGGGGAATGTGAGAGCAGAGGGAAAAAAAAAACCCAAAACCTAAAAGAAGAAAAAAAGTTATATTATTTGCCCTAGCACAGACTTTTCAGATCAACTCCTCAGCTAGTACAAATAGCATGACCTCAGAATCTGGCCCTGAGGCCTTCAGACACCTTCTGTATAGGTCCTCAGCAGCTATAGATTAGGGCATCTGGTAGCAGTTATCTATATGGGATGAGGATCTGGATCTCCATCCCCAGCTAGAACCTTGACATTCTCTGTCTCCAGCTATGTCCCAGGCAGCCTCTCTGCCGCTCCAGCTACTGCTCAGGCTTCATCATATGTACATCAGAGTTTTCTAATATGTGGAGGTGAGATGTTCTCTTTCTTTTCCTAAAAAGGTTTCAGTCTCAGGAGTTGTGCTTTTTCAATATTGCCCTCCCAATGTCTTGCCTGTCTCTATCCATACCATACCACCCATTAGCCACACATTTGTTCTTTGAAGTTTTGCCAACTTATTCTTTAGAATGAATTTAGAAGGGAAGCTGTCATGTGGGCAGGGAGAATGTGCTACTTGCTTTCACTTTCTGAAGAGATTTTAGAAAATGGGTAGGAAATAAAGCTAATGTAATGCAGGACTGAGAGTTCCAGAAACTGAGGCTGAAGAGCATCTTCAGACTTCACCCTAACTGGAGAGGTTGAAGAGAGGAGAGGTTTGTTTTAATCTCAGAAAGGAATTTGGTCTCCATGGCCTCCACAGGTCATGGCTTATTTGCCGAGTTCCTTGGTGAAACAGTGGTTCCAGAGTCACAGATACCCAATATCTGCCAGTAGTCAGGGACCCTGCCAGTCAAATACTAGTGATTTTCTTTCACCACTGACCTCACTTGGATTTAAACCAGTGACCTAGAGGTGAAAGATTTCATGTAACAAGAAACGGAGCACTGAATTACAGTCCAGTTTATTTTCATTCTGAGCTATATTATGAGATTTGTAGCATCTTTTTGAGTTCCCATGCTCTATTCATTCACCACCTGACAAACACCAATTTTTGCCCTGTTTGCTGGAACTTCTTCCTGGTGATCTCTATCTCTCACCACTCCCTACAGATGCCTTCTGCTCTTAACTTCTCATTTATGAAGGGCAAGGGCTTTGGGTAAGCCTTCCACAAGGGCATTCAGTCATTCAGAAAGGTGTTTTTTAGGTAGACAACAAAATTAAAGCTACACCATTTGTAAATCCAGCAATGTCTCTATTAGCTGCAAAGACTGCCTTGAGATGATGCTCGCAGATCAGACCATAAATGCTAATGCAGCTTTTAACACACAGGAGATCCTTGCTCACTCACTGAACACCCTCCTTATGCAGTGAACACCCAAGTTTGGGATAAAGATGATAGAGAGAACTAGGACAATTCTCCAAGAATTGTACCATTAAAGCAGTAGAATCAAGACCACAATAAGGCAAGTGGAACCAGTCTGCTGCACCCAGAGCTCAGATCAAGTCTTCAGGTTCCAATAGCTGGGACTGTGGGAATGCAAAGACACAGAGAAGTTGCGTTTGAGTTCTGAATGTGTTTTGCTCTTTTCCAGGATCATCAGAACCAAAGTTCAGCAGCCTTTTCACCCAACACCAGATGGGAGCGGGACAGGTGTGACTGCACCAGGACATACTATTGGTAAGGAGACTGGCATGAGGGGTGGTGACAGGTCAAGTGGAAATGGGGATGAGGCTTAGTTGAGCGAACAAAGTATGACAAGCAGATGCTAAGCAGAGCAAAAGGGAGGAGGGGGTGGGGGGAAGGAAGCCTCTATGGAAATCAGAGGTTTCTCTTCTTCGTTTCCCTTGTTGCATTGCAGAGAAGGGAATCATGGAGAAACTAGCCTATGGTAGCGGTTTGCTGAAGTGATTCTGCCCTAACATCCATTTCACATTCATGCTCTCCTTCATCTCCCTATAGAGAAGTATTTACTGCTGTGCTGTCTAAGCACAAGCCTTTACCTTTTGTCTCCTTCTTACTCTGACTCTCTTTCCCCCCTCTTACTCTCAATTTTGTTTCTCTCCTCTTCCTTTGCTGGAACTGGTCCCTTTCTTAGAGCTAGTAATACACAAACATGGGTTGCCTCACAACTAAGTTCTTCATTGTTCTAGCTCAGCAGTCAGGTATCCCCCGGGTGTATTTCAATGAGAAAATGCATTTTTTGCTGGGGAAGATGTTTTGCTGGTTTATTGAGGTGAGCAGAAGATGAAGGCTGTAATAAAGTGACTGAATGCCTCCTAGTCTGTTTAAAGGTACTGTGCTAGATGTGTGATAAGGTACTTTTCAGTCTGTGGGCTGTATGGTGGATATGTCTGCTGTTGCTAGCGTAGCTTTATCTAGTGACAAGTCAGAGCAGGGAAAATATGCAGTTCTGGGATACTGTGAAATACAGAGCTTATTTGCGGTCTAAGACACTGTCTTAGATTCTGTTGGTTATTGAGAATCTGTTGCTACACAAGGATTTACTGGAAAGCACTGGTCTACACGGGACAGAGCTGGTAGATATAATCCTGTACGCAAATTTTATTGAGGAGTACAATGGAATTAATGGGCCAATATAGAAGAGCATTTCTGGATGCCCCTTTAATCTGGACTTGCTCACTGGACTGGGAATCACTGATCACAACAGATGGAGTTGGCAGATATTATTCCTTCTTGGAACAGTAGTGCAATGTCTAGGGAATGCAATGGCTGAGCTGGGATGGTGAGTGTGAGTGCTTCTCCTAGAGTCTCTCATTGCTCTGGGTTGTACTGGGAAGTGTGAGTCTACATTGGATAGTGTTGACAGGTTCTGCTCCATCCTGGAAGGCTTGCATTAGAGGTATTGATTGCTTCAGGTCAGTGCTTTATGAGCTGAACGATGCATAGTGGCTATGAGAGAACTGGGATATTCTCTCCAATACTGGGACACACTGGGATATAATGGGTATGCCTGCTGGATTCATAGCTCTACCAATTCTACTTTCTAAAGGCCTGATTATCATGAAGTGATCATTTCTAATCTGAATAACTTGTCATTTCTGATATACTGGAAATTCATGAGCAGTCTTGGATTGCCCTGAATGGCCGCAGGATTCTGCCTATTGACATTGGTCAGTACAAAAGGAAGTCACTAGATTTTCACTAATCTGGGTAGTAGTGTGTATCACCAACTCACCAGTTGTTCCCTCACCAGGGAACAGAATTTATTAGCTCAACACTGAAGTGCTTCTAAGGTATGCCAAAAAGGTAATTTTTCAATGAGAGTTTTGGATGGGCATGTAAGAGGTTGGTCTGCCTAAGACAGAACACGTGCACTCTTGATGAAAAAAAGCTGAGAGGAAATGATCCAGTGAAATATGGATATACTATGAAGTCATTAGAGAATGTGGCCTGTGCAGCATTTCACTCAGTTACCTTGGCATGCTATGGGAAGCCTGCTCTGAACTGGGATGTAACAACAAGGTTTAGCTTCTTGATGAAATACACTTGCTTGTTATTAATGGCCCTGTACTGGAAGGCTGTGGGGCTACGGTATAGAAAATGACAAGCAAAGCTGGGATGCAGCTTTGCTGAGTTGCAGTACAGCGAGTATAAGTCCTTCAGTGTGAGGGACTGGGAGTCTGCTTAGTGCCCAGGCTTTGCTATGAGGCTGGTGGCATGCATAGCTTTCAGCTGGGAATCCCTGAGTGCTGTGCTGCTCTCCTCATGGCCCTTTTTCCCTTTTCCTTTTGTCCAGTGCCCAGCACAGCATCCCCTCCCGTCTCCAGTGCCTCCAATGATCCAGTGGGCTCTTACTCCATTAACGGGATCCTGGGGATTCCTCGGTCGAATGGCGAGAAGAGGAAACGTGATGAAGGTAGGGGGAGGGGAGAAGCTCATCCTCCCTTTTATATTCTTTGTCCCCATGTACAGGCTCCAATTTCAGGCCAAGGTTTGCAGCTGCTCCAGGGGCTAGATCAGTTTTAGCAACAGAGACCAGTTCCCCGCCACTGCCCTGCTGGCTTGGAATGCTCTTCTTCCGAGGCCCTTTCATGACAGGCTGCGTCTCCAGACATCTGCTCAGCAGGCAGAGAGCCGTCTCCATTGCTGGAGCTGATCCCAAGTTCATTCACTGCTGGAAACGGCTGGAACTGAACTCCCCAGGTGCCAGCAGGTGCCCGGACTTTGAACTGTGGGTAAACATGGTTTCCCCGACTCACTCATTTTCAAACAAAATGCCATCTTGGAGAAGCACCAGCAATGTGGGATTTATATTTCATTCCCCTTGCAAACAAGTTCCTGCCCTGTGATGTGCCATGAGCTACATTAGCTGGTGATCACAAGGGCCCAGTTTTCAATGGGTAGCATCTACCACAGCAGAACTGTCATGCTTGCAACAGTCTGAAAGCAGAACAGGAGGTCTTCTGAGTACTGTGACTGTAAGGTTGTTTTCTGGGCCTTTCGCTAGGGCTCTAAGGAAATAGGATTAAGCTATCTCCTTTTGCTTCCTACTTGTTGGGAAGTACTCACGGCAAAGCGGATCCTGAAATGAATCAAAAGCAGAAGCTTCAGATATAGACAGATTGAGTCAGAAGGGGTGGGTAAGGTCTTGGTGCTTTTACGGTGTCTTTTAAACTCTTTTCTTTAAATCTTGCTCTTTTAATTTGATTTGTTCTAAAATTGAGGGCCAGGAGGTGAACTTTTCTAAGAGTAGTGACTGACCAGTTTGTTGGGTTCAGCCCTGACTTCAGTATGTTGTGTGTTGCTTGTTGTGTGGAGGGATCCTTTAGCAGTACAGGTGGCTCAGTGTGCTGTGTGTGCTGTAACCCCAAGGCTGTGCAGTGCAAGAGAACATGAGAGTTGTCTGTGATATGTAGTGAGAAGAGAAAGCTCTCCTGAGAGAGATGCTGCATTCGGGGGTTTTGCTAGTAATTTTCTCAGCATTCATTCTGGTGAGGTTCACATCTGTAAGTTTTTGATCCAAACAAACACAGTAATCTTAAGAATAAAAGGCAGTTGTCATGTCCCCTTTCTAACTAATACAAATAAAACTAGAGGCAAAGACCCAATACAGCTTCTATTAAAGCAAATGGGAACATTTTTGCTGATGTCATTGGAAATTGGATCGGGCCCCAGAGGAAGATCCATTTCCCAGCTAGATGGCAGTAGGGCCCAGCTAAGACAAAAGTGTAGCAATGGAAGGGCTGAGTCAATTCCTCAAAGTCAAAAAATGTCAGGAATAAGAGACTACAAGTATTGCAACCCCCTCCAGCATTTGTCATCATTAAATATACATGAAATAGAGACATTTCAAATGGAATGACAAGTTTCTCCAATGGTTGTGCAGATCTCCTGGCACTTATTTGGGGTTTTTGTGAATCCCTGTTCTCATACAGTCCAATGTGGTGATCACCAGCTCTCAACATGGTGCCTCCACATCTCATTTGAAATGAACCTGTTCAATCTGGCTTTAGCAGCTATTCAGGCTATACCTGGAAAGATCATCCCACTTTAGATGCAGGCTCACAGTCAATTCCAGCCTCAGAACTTGAGCTTTTTTTTGAAAATAGTTAGATACAACCAAGCAGCCATCTCAGACTGTGACACTTCACAATGATATACTGACAGTAAGAACTACTCTCTGTGTCTGTCCTTAATTCATCCCAGATTTGATTTAGGCAAGTGACACTCTGCAACTCCTTGCTGTTGGCCAAGAGCCCACATATTCCACTAGGAATCAAAAAGGTACCAGACAATCCTGGAGATGTTGTTTGTCTTCAGCTGAGTTTTAGGTGGCAATTACATGACATGATTGGAACTACTTTAGAGAACAGCCTTCATCCTGTCATCCCAGATATCTTCTGCAGGGAGATGTTGTGCCCCTGTCCTAGAAAAACCTCACATGTGACCCCCAGCCATCTTCTGAACACCCCTAACCAAGAGCTGAGTTATCTGGGCTCACATTGGCCTTAAGAAATGCTGAAAGACATCATCCCTTTGCACGGTTGGGTCCTAAGATTAGAAGGGTCCACGCAGAGGTTTTGCAACACCAGTGACCTTGCACTCATTCCTGGGCAATCTCCTCTGTAGGTCTGAAGTTTCTGATTGTTTCTAGTTGAGATGGGAATTAGATGTCAAGAAATCCAATGCAAGCATTTCTTTCATGCTCATGCTGGATGCATACACCTTCTCAGTATTTCCCAGAGCTTCTGACCGCTGTTTTATTGCAGTTTCTTAACTGCAGGGTTTATTCTTGCACTGAAAAGCCCTTGTGAGCTTTGCACATCTACTTTCCCAGCATTTAGGGAGTGGCTCTTCCCTAAAGGAGGCAGAAGAAACAGCACTGCTCTCTCTTTCTTTCCGCTCTGTTGGACCAGCTCTGCTGCAAGGATTCCTCTGTGAGGAATGCAGTTCAGCAGAAAGGGGGAAGTACCAAGCTGTTTCTGAATCCCTGGTTCTGAAAACCTTGTTAGCAACCTCTGTGATGGCTGGGGGGAACAGGGTGGGAGAAAGACAGAGGAGCCTCTATCTGAGCACACCCCCTCCCCCAGGTCCTCCTTGCTGCAGCTGGTGCCTACATTAGACAGTAGCACAGATGATTAAGAAGAGGAGAGATAATTATGTGTCAAGATGATGTAGCAGAACTCCCGAGTTGGACAGAAGGAGCCAGACGGATGCATGAGGTGGGCTCAGAGATGGACGCTGACAGTCAGGTGTGTCCCTCACAGGGAGTTAGAGGGAACAGTGGAAATCCCAGCCTACCAAATACGCTGGTTGCAGCTGCAAGGGTGGCCTGGGAAACCTATGGCATTGAGACAGAGTTAGCAGGGAAAGAGCTCTGAGTGTCTACTAGTCACAACAAGGAACTGACTGGTCGCAAGTCTTTCCTCAAAACCCAGTGTGTCTTCCTCAGGTGAATACCTAGGAAGGATGGTCAGAATTTGCCCTTTTAAGACCGTGTTTCAGATTTTGACCAACGATTGCAAAACTTCTGACTTCTGTGACAGATTAGACAGAGTTAGTCTCCTATGATTTTTTAAATAATTTGGGTAAAAAAGTTCACCACCATTTGTGTAGCACAGTGTGTGGCATTTCTTGCAGTCTATGGGCACTGCCAATGCTGCTGTAACTTCCCTCTGACCTTCCCCAGCACTTACACCCACCATCTTCGAAAGGCAGAGGTGGCCCTGAAGCACATAATGACCTTCCCAAGACTGCTGAGGGTCTTGCAGTATCAAGCGGCATCTGAAAGCAGGAATCCCTGGCTCTTCATGATTCTAGTGTTGTCGTAGTCTGTGATGGCAGGCCAACTATGCTCAGTGGGGTTATTGTCAGACTAAGGAGCAGCAATATGAAGGATAAAGGGGAAAAATAATATGCAGATAATTCTGTTGTTTCATAAGCCCTTGACTGATAGCTAAAAGAATGATAACTGGGGTGACCCAGAGGCATTAACAAAAAATCAGTATCACTCATACAGTCTTGAGCACTGTACAAGGAGAAAAAGGGAGAAATGTGGAGACAAGGGAAAGACAGATCGACAGGTAGATAGATGGATATAGACAGATGATTAGATAACATGGAAACAATATATCAAACTGCTCCCTGCATACCACAGCATCTTCAGCTGGGTAAAACTTTGGGGATTTTTACAAAACCATTCTTACAAGACATAGCTCTTTCTGTCCATAACAGGCCACACACAGACTTCCTCTACAAACTCAAAGTCTCATTTGGGATTCATCTTCTAGTGAGGCTGGTGCTGTAACATTCTCAGCATTATTAACACTGGTCCCCGACAGTATCTGTAGTATTTGACAGCATTACTGGCAAAATTATCTGCAGTGCTGACAATGGCAAAGATAATATCCCCCAGTATTATTGGCATTAGCAGGGATCATATCTGCAGCCTGTTATTGGTGGGAGCAGACATAATGTGTCCAGTATTATTAGTATCAGTAGTAATAAAATCTACAGGCTTGTTAGTGTGATCAGTGCTAATATCAGCAGTAGGTTTGTGGGAGAGGAGGGGACGGAGTGATTGTTACTGTAAATGGCAATAATACTCGGGGTGTTTGCAGTAAAGGAATCCCCAGCAGAGATGGGCAAGCAAACCTGAGAAGGCAGAAGTTCCTCCTTCCCTTTCTTCACCTGTCATTTTGACGATGAGGGGGATTTACACTGATACTCAGCGATGCAGGGCTGTGTCAGTGCAGGGGGACAGTAAAAGGTCATCAAAATTTCTGCAGGTCTGGTGGTATTTTCTGAAGAGTGTTAGCTGTATCAGTGCAGGTGGTTCACCATACTCTTCTAAATGGCATTGAGTTATGCCAAACAGGTTCTGCTTCTATCAGCAAAAGCATTTTCACTGTTAGTCCTTTAGCTACAGGATAGGCAGCATCATTGCCCTTCTCTTTGGTGCTGCATGCATAGTTTTCTGAATGTTATTACCACAACATCCTCTACTGAGAAGCAGTTACAGGTGGTTTTATCTTCCCTTACTCCAAATGGGAGGACTCTGTCTACAGAGCAGGGTTTTAACAGTGCTCAGCTTGGGGCTTTTCCTACCTGGCCATGATGCCATTTTCCTATTTGGAAATTACAAATGCCTCCTTCGGGTGGAGTGTGAGGCAGGGAGATCTGTGACAGTCCCAGTCCTGAAAGTCGTTTTTCAAGATACTGCCCCAGGATATAGATTGTCTTGAAGAAAATTTTGAACTCAATTCTTTAAGTGGAAAGTAGTGCAGAGGGGAGAGGTGTGTAATGTGTCTAAGTTTTTGAGCAGATATGCAGCAGCTCAGTATGCCACTGCAAGTATGATCCCATTTGTGTTGTTCAGAGTGGCAATGATAATATAATTTGGGAGATGTAATTATG